CCTAATATTTTTGTTATTTACATAATTTCTATGTTTTTTTTCGTTTAGGTGGTGGCGACAGTTTGAAAGTCTCTCATGGCCTGAAGACCTGCTGAGCATGGTTTGTTTGATAGTGCGAGAAAACGACGAAAAAAGCCAAAGAAGACGTCATGCAATTGCCAGATACATTAATTTATCATCAGCACTTGTATGGTCAGTTCCAATGAGCCTCTCGTAACCCTAAACACACTGAGCAATCATTCACTCAGGCGTGACATCTCAAAAAAGATCCGCCTTCGTTTCCCAACAGTTCGGAGTCTTGTCGAGGCTGGTCTGCTAACGGAAAAAGAATACGACGTTCTCGAAACTCTTGAGGTACGAAAGCTTTCCTGCGGATAACTGAACCTGACAAGTTCTTGCCAAGGAGAGGAGCGCGTAGGTAGTCATTGTAAGTACCCTGTGGGGATCGGTGAACTTGTGGAACTGAGTAGAAAGTAGAAGGGTGGGAGCAAGAACAGGCAGTGCTAAAATTTTTGAAAAACTTTGGCTAGAGTGAAAAAATGGCGAGTCACAAAATTTATGTAGGAAAACGAGGGTCGGAACTACAGTCGAGAGAATGCAGCCTTTGTAAGATTTATTGAACGTTCGGGAAAGAGAAGGGCCTCGTCCCACCTCATAAGCTTGAGTGAGGGTGATAATGCCAAAAGGTGGACTTAAATTGAATTTCTTAAGTTAGTATTCGACCATAATTCGAACCTAGTAGATGCACGAGTATTTGGATGGAATTACGTGGCGAAGAACCGTTTAGAGAACAGGCACTTATCGGAAAGGCGTTGTCCCTTGGCACTTCTCCATTACGCTGTCTCAAAATGCGCACCCGAAAACTCTAGCACCACCCTTAGAGAAGACCCAACCTAGATGGTGAAACAACTAGTTGGTGGAAAAGGTGCACTGGCTGCGCTCCAATCTACGCCCCTTGCAACTTATGATAGTCGCAGGGAACTTGCCATTCATAGTGGAGCCGCGAAAGGGGGACAGCATTTTGCGGTTGCGCAAGAAATTTGGGCAAGCGGGGAATCATGAGAGTTGGTTAAGCGTGGGATCTTTCTTCAAAATGACTGGACTGGGTTAGCACGACCTCTGCAGCACCCCTATACGACCACTTCATTTATCAATGGTAGGCTGCGGAAACTTCGAAATGTTCCAGGAAGACTGTGAAACTGTACGCTGGATGGCGCCTCTTCACTGGATTCAACATATAGTTTGTAAAGAGGAAAAGGTTCGATGACATGGTCATTACACTGATGGAATTTGTCCCGCACACATGATAAGAGTAACACTTGTAACAGCTCCTTTACAGGAAAACAGTCCTCCAACAGCTTTTATAAACAATTTCGTAAGCGAACTCAAGACTTATCGTCAGTCACTGAGGAAGTTGTTCTGCTATGATTGGGTTTGCGTACCACTCGTTTACACTCAGGTGAGTTTCAAGCGTATTTACTAGAGCAGGGCGAAGAAACCAAGTCAGTTGGTGGCAGGCTAGCGTCGCTCAAGCCCAGCCCCTTGACACGTCCCAGCATCCGCAACCAACGACTATAGACTCTAAAATATGAGCAGCACAACTAGGGCTCACATGTTTTGTAGGGGGGGGAGTCAGCATATTTATCCAACCAGTACCAAGAACGCACTTCGTCGTTAGAGGTGGGAGGGGGCGGGGGGATATGAAAGGACATTTTTGTGAACTCGATCTACTAGGATGTTATGATTTTCAAACCCTTTTACACAAAAGTTAGTTCAAACATTCCAGAGCTCATTATCCAAGCAATATCATTTGTTCCATATGATACTCTTATGCGATTCCTAATTAGGTTGGTGGCCGACATATAGAGGTCTGTGCGTACGCAGATCTTTGACCAAATTTTTTGGAACTCAAATTTTCACGCTCACTCACACAGACATGCTTCCCAATATTTCTCCGTTAATGCTAACTCACGTTTGGCATCATAAAAGAGCATTTAGCAAGGAAACATTTTAGAGTGCCGCTTCCCATATAAAAAGTTGCAGAATTCGATGCATCGAAACTGGCATATATGCTCATTATTATGACGAACTAACGGCCACACTTTTAATGATAAGCCACAGATTTAGTAGAGCTAAGTGACGCATCAATATTTTTTTGTTTTGGATAGGAGGTCAGCGTCGATTTGTGTGCCGGGGTAGTTTGCTCTTTCGCATCACTATCCTTAAAGGATCGGCTTGGGGTTTATAGGATAAAAAAGTAGTTGTTAGAGACTGCTAACTCTTGACTGAATAAGCTTGGGTAATGTGTCCGGCAAGGCTGAGATCAAGATCACGATCTTTTGGTGTTGGCTGATCGCTAACATGCGGGCATCTCTCGCGATGTGGTGCCGAGCGATATGAAGATAACCATCGAAGAAAATCTATAGTAATTAGGGATGCTTTTAGCCATTTTACACGATTATTCCAGCGTGAACGTTCATGGGATTTGTTTTCTATGTGAGGCCTTTAATTTCGTATATAGCACGTAGGCATAGCCGCAGTGGGATTTTTCTTACGGCGATGGTATAACTATGTAATTCCGGCAGGGTTATACAACTCCAGCTTTGTTTAGTGGACAACCAAATAAGCGGTAACTGAAAGGTGCTCAGTATATCGCCATGCCCGTCTGCTTTTGGTGTGGGCAATCTACTTTTCTGTGTTGGGACTGCATACTCTTTTTGCGAGGATTTAACCACTGGTGAACTAGATACGTTTAGCGCAACGGTGGTCCACTTGGATTGGCTGTGCACTCATTATACTATTACAAACCACATCGTCGGGATACAGTAATCTCGAGCAAAATCGTGGTGCGCTCAGTGAAACGCATTACGTGTATGTTTACAAACGCTCGAATTAATCTAAATCGAACATGATGAAGAACAAAGGGTTTTTCTTTTCACTTCCATTCTGAAATCGTAGTGGGCTCATTGGAAAGCATTCGGAATCGTAGTGGCTCATTGAAAGCGATGTGGCCTACACAATGACTTGCTGGGCTCATTGTCAGCCAAGTACAAGCCAGTGCTCCTATCCTCCTAGATGGATCTGGTACCTATTTACTGTCCCCGAAGGGTAAGGGGCCTTATTGGCCTGGGCGGAAGACATCCGGGTTTTGACTCCCAGAGCACGCGCAAGGTTAACGTGCCACTTGCCACCACACCACCTCCGCCTCTTGTTTTGAATTGTGCAGAAGAATATCTCTCAGTCAAACATGACCAGAAAATTCCCGTTAAAAATTTCGCCTGAGTAAAGAACATGCGGTTTAGGTAGCAGCACTGGCAACCTACTCGTTCTTCTTTTTCACCCTGTTTGGCCGTCAAGTACTACATTCTGAAGTGAAAGCTGGTCGACAGATTGATTCCGTCCTGCCGCTGTTCGCAATCATCCAGTTCATGTTCCTCGTTGGATGGTTCAAGGTAGGCTATTGACCAACGATGGTAAAAGCTAACCTGATTCCTGGGAATAAGACTCCCCAAACACTGCGAATGTTGAGCGCGGAAAAACACGTTTCTTTGGTTTCAGTCTTTCAGTTATCAACAGTTTCCTTACTATTAGCAGCCAGCCGTGTCTTTTGAATTTACTTGTGGTTTTGTCAGTTGTTTGTCTCATGATTATCAGTGGCTTTATCAGTCGTTGCTCCATGTCGTTGTTGAATTTGAAGTAGTTGATCAGCAGTACTGACTATGAATGCTTGAGACCACTTAGTAGATCAGATTACAAAAAAAAATACGAAAATCCCCGTGCGCGTCTATGCGGACTGATGCCGTTTAGACCAGCTCAATTTTGGCTCCTGGCCCATTTATGACGTGCCTAGGTCACCGAATCCGATGGAAACTTGTATACAGGGGTGATTCAACATCCTGATTACGAATATGGCATAATCTGGGCGCTGGCACTAATGGAGAACTACGATTATCTGCGCTCTGCTAAGGCTGAGCCCAGAAGATAATCGTAGTGTCCTCCATTAGCGCCAGCGCCAAGAATGAATGTCATATTCGTAATCAGGATGTTAAATAACTCCTGTATACAAGTTTTCAGCGGATTTGGTGATCTAGGTACTTCATAAATGAGCCAGCAGCCAAAACTGAGCGCGTCCAAACGGCATCACTCGTCTATGTGACCTTGCAAATAAATGCGCTAACCCCAATAAGTCGGTCGAAATAGAATAATATTTAAATATAGATCTGTTCCAGGTAGGACAAGATCTAATGCGTCCGTTCGGATTGGACGACGATGACATTCGAACTAAACTATATTCTCGACAGGAATTTCAAGACCTCGTTTGCGGTGGTGAATCGATTGCACACGACCAATTGTGAGTCTCACTTATACGTCTCCGACCCAATTCACTCAACGCAGAAGCGCAGAATATTACCCGCTTCATAAATGTGGGCTGTGGTGGCGTAGTTGGAAGTGGCGCTGCTTAGGCAGCGTTCATACTTCGACAGCAGCGGCGATCGCGGCGATCGTCGGTACGACAGAGCGCGCCCCAACGCTATTACTTGGACCTGCTTCTGAGTGCTTTTTAGGAAGAATCGACTCAATTTCTGTTTCGAAACGTTAGCTCACTTCAACTAGAGTTCTACCTATCAACCTCGAAAGGCACATGCATGCATATCAGACGCGCGTACGACACGATCAACACAAACTACGATTAAGCCTTTGCAGTTACAAGTGACATGGTGAATATATGGCCACTAACGATGAAGACTAGTTAAAAACCCGTTTCCCATTCCTCATAGCATGCCATGCTTACGAGGGTTTAGCGCGAGCGTTCCCACCTTAGGGACTATTGGCTCAACAAACGATGCACAAGATCATCTGAATGAGAAGCGATCTCCTACGTACACTCGGGATCTTCTGAGATATAGAGCGGTAGGCGTGGCTGCGTACTTCAACTAAACGTGGTGGTGACTGTGCTTTTGGTGAGATATTTTCATTCTGGAGACAATTGTGGTCATGTCTTTGGCCAACGCAGAACAAGATGTCAGTTGTCCCAAGTTGAAATATCTCACGAGTAACCCATTCTATGGCATGTTTAAATGCCACGCCTACTCCGTCTTTGGGATAAGGAGTGTACATGTGGTAGCAGTTTATGGACTCTGGAGGGGTGAGAGGTCTAGTTGATCCCGTGATTTCGGGTCTGGCTGGTAGCCGCACGGCTTGCCACAATATCTTTCCAGTCATAACTAAACGCTATAGCACAGTCAAACATGGCCATTACTGAACGTGTGTACACTCTAATGTCAAATGTTCCAGTTGAACCAGAAGAAGATCAAATATGGAAAAATCGAGATGGCAAATTGGAACCGTTGCCACATTCACCGTACAGTCGACGACTTGCCGAACATCGCCCTAAATTGCACTCTTACGTCAGAGTGGACGACAGTGACGACAAGACCACATTGAAATGCACTAGCATTCCGCGCTGTAAAAAGTTAGTTTCGCAAGCACACACTCATTGAGCATTCGGAGGTGCTTAAATTGTATGGTGACGTTCGGCTCCATTGGTTCAAACTGCTCTTGGAGGCACTTATACATGGGCTCAGGAGGGTCGTTTAAGGCGTTAGGGCAGATCTACCTAAATGGATATTTGCTTGCACAACTTAATCCGATCATTGTGTAGCATCGTTAGTAGAATTCCATCAAGGGGGGGGGGTTAGGAGGGGGAAGAGGTGGGATGTCATGCTTGGCGGTTAGGAAAAGGGTCATATTCGGCATGATAGGAATCTCCTGAACCATGATAGTGTTTTCCGGTTGTTCCCCATCTTCATAAGCGCTATGTATAACCTTAGTTTGACGCTCTCACAAAAATGTGGTCTAAGTACTATTCCTCATTGCTGAAATTGGCAGTTGCTTGGTAACGACGACATCCCCATCCCGCTTGAAGGCAGTGGTGAGAAAATTTCTGAAAAACTGGAAAAACGTTAGGTTGGAGAGTTCACGAACATGATAGAGGATGGGGAAGGGGAGCCGTACCAGAGGTGGAAGTAAAAGTCAATTCATGCCCCACTATGCTGTACCCAGAGGTTCAGACTTCGCGATAGCGCGCTATAGTCGCGACAAAGATGCAAACGCAGATGGAAAACGATCGGCACCGACCGCTCGTTTTGAGAGGGTATAAGACAACAGGAGGGCACGCGCCAGAGCACATTACCAGTTGGGGATTTTGGTCGAGTCCGTACGACTCCCCTTTTTTCTAGGGGGAGGGGGTTCGTACGACCCCCCCCTCTAGTTCTCTCCTCTGATCGAGCTGTTGAGCGGGGGGGAGGGGTGGACCGCGAACCTACCAGCACCCCCTCCCCTTCCCTGTCATACAGACCACTTTCTCAGATTTTCCCCAACTTCTACCATATTTTCCCCGAAGATTTTCATACTTTTACCCAGCAAGTTTTGCTGCCGAACGAGGGTGGAGCAGGTATACATACACATGGAACAGGAAAAACCTCGAGTCAGTAACCTCTCTCACAAGGTTAGAAGGGGACTACGACCCCGCCCCTTCCCACAACGAGCAAATACGACCATTCCCCCTCCACGTCCTTGAAATAACAAAAATCAACTATCAAAAACTTTTTCAGATTAAATACGACCCCTCTTTCCCAGCGACCAAATATGACTCCCCGTTCGGGAATCCCCAACAACGATGTGCCCTGGACAGGCGCTGCCTTCCCATGCCCCAGCGGGCCCAAGCGATTCCCGTCTGCGGTTGCGTTCACGGCTATAGGACTGAAGCGCTGTTACAGCTATAGCGCATCTACGGCGTTACAGCGCGTGGACGCGCGTCATTGCAGTCCGAACGCTGCCTAAGCATCCCATGAAACGGATTTTTTACTCACAGATCTTTTCCAGACATATCAGCTGGTGATCGATTCAGTGCGTCAGAAGACTTGCGAGCGATCGCTCTCAATTGCTTTCATCACCCTCGAGCAACCGAATATGTTTCCGAAAGGGCGACGAGATTGTTAAAAGATTCTCCAACATTGATCCGAAGCGTGTACTTGACAGAAATCAATAAAGATTATGCAATACTATGCAGGAAAATATAGACATGAAAGAACATTGTAATTCCCATCCAGACCATACGACGCCAGCATTGATGGCATGGAAATCATTCACAGGAACAATCATGGCGGAATTAGCAAGATGTTCACTCGCTCTTTCAATTGAACAAAATCCCAAAAATATACACTTTCAATGGCTATGATATTGAAGAAAAATAATATTTGCCCCTCTTCTTACATCGACTGGTTGAACACTGCATTAATGAATAAAACATGAGCTGAATATTACTACAACTAGATATAAAATCACAGTCGGGTTTGTGGAATCATAAATTAAACGCAATGAGTTACACCAAGTAAAAGACTAATGATGTGCACTGGGAACAGGATAGGGGGCCATTTAGGCACTGCGGTATGTGGTGCAGGTAGATGCGAGGTCTCGTCTCATCTAGTAATATCCAACGTGAGAACTCGTACAAACAGCGAAAATCAAGGCCACGGGTTTGAGGACGATGAAGAGTTTACGCTCCATGATTGCCATTCAACTGTATCCAAAAGGATAATGGCACATATACATCTACAGCTCCGCAGGACTAGAGAGGTGCCTTCTTGCTCCGTCGAAAACGGACATCAGCGAGAAAGCGTCCGCGGTCAATTCGCATATTTCTCGATCTCCCCAGCACTGAGTTGGTAAATTCTGGAGCAGAATCATAATCCCCTGCAAAAATAGAAGTGAACTCGTAGTCTGATGCTATCAAAAGCGCTACAAAACCTATAAACAAAGCATACCTGGAAATCACGTTCTGCCTGCAATTGTCGTGACCATGTCCGAAGAAAGGCTGCACAGACATAGCTATGGAATTGTGAGAATCCATCAGGTTCGCTCTTAACGGATTTATGAGACGAAGAAATAAATGAAGTAGATAACAGCAGGAGGTTCTGATCGTAAAGCTCATTTTCTAAGCGGGTTTGCTGCACATTGTAGAAAGTCATGCAGGGCCACAAAAGTGTGGCTCATTTTCGCGGTGCTCTTCCTAGGAAGGTGAAAGAATAGGTGATCGATAGGGTGATGGTCCAAACCCCTCCATGACAAACTTAAGCATCCTCAGATTTTCATTTCTTATGTTCACATTAATCGAAGCTGTTGTCCTAACAAAAATGTTTAAAAAAATTCGAAATTTACTTTACGATAGACTGAAACACTTTCTGTAGTAAAATTCGTCGTGAACCCGTGAAACTTGTACTCCGCCCCTTATTGACATCCCAGAAAAAGAGCAGCGAAAACGAAATACAGTTCTGTGGCCTTGTATGAACCTCTTCAGTATGCAACAAACCGTTTCGAGGATGGGCTCCAAGACCCGAAAAGCTCCCCTAGTAAGGCTGCGTCCATACTTTGCGTCAGCGTATATTAGCGTTCGCACGTACGCCTGCGCCAGCGACTAGAAAAGTATAGATATCCATAAACGAAGCGTCTACCAGGGTCCACCAGCGTCCAAAAGTGGAGAGTATGGGGAAGTAGGAGGGTAGCAGGCAGCTGGTCGTTGAATTCCGGTGTGAGCGCCGCACCGTGCCTGCTCAAGCACGGAATCATGCAATCATGATGTACATGCAGTGCAGTTGTATGATGAGGTTGTACACGACGTAATTACACGATACTAATCCAGCTGACTGCTACCCTCCTACTTCCCCATAGTATTCACTCCTGGACTGGTGGAAGCAGGCAAACGCTCGCTAGATCGGTACCTATACTTCCACAGTCCTTGATATGCTGGTGCACGCTGGCGTTGGCTAAATCGACATCTATACTTTCCTAGTCGCTGGCGTTCTCCAAACCCCGGTGGAAGTCGGTGATCGCTAATGGACGCTGACGCAAAGTATGAACGCAGCCCAACAGAAGCTTATGGCCCAAAACTAAGACTTTCTAAAAACATACCAAATACGTATCCCAAAGCCTAATTGTAGCACGAAGAGGAATTTCTCTCATTAGTAAATTATTCATCCATCGAAAAGAAAACTGAAGATATTCAATTCCGTTTGATTCCAAATGCAGATGTAGTGGTCCTAAAATGCCAACATTTCAATGCGTAAAAAAACCCATGCAAAACTCTAGCGCTCCTTCAACAAAATCACAACTCACGATCGACTCTACTCATTAGATGTTTGAGCTGTAGAACCTTCCGTTGGATACCCGGTTGTGCGAATGTATAATTATCATGAATTGAGTCAAGTAACGCCGACGCACACCAGAACGAGTCCGCTTCGACCAATTCACATTGTTCTCGTGTCAATTGGGAAACGTCGAACGATCCCACCTTAAATGGCATCGTAAACTAAAAACCAAATAAAGACTGATATAATTACGAACTAATGTCACAAGCATGTGGTGGCGGTTTAGTGGCAAGTGGCACGCTCACCTAGCGCACGCCCGGAGAACAAATCCCGGATTGGCCCGCTAAGGCCAACCAAGCCTTCTCCGGGCGGTAAATTAGTGTTAGTACTACGTCTAGAGGGATAAGTACACTTACTTGTACATTAGCTGACCCCGCAAGTCATTCATAAAGGCCACATCGCGTTCAATAAGCCAGTACGATTCCCAAATGCAAGTGGAATGCGTGCTGACGGCCAAAAAAGGGATTGATCGAAAGCGAAGACTTCACCGCTTTTTTTCACAAGGATCAAAGATTAAGCTTTTGCCATCAATCAAACCCTTTAGTGAAAAAGCATGCATTCCACTTCCATTTGGGAGCCGTAATGACTTTTCGAATATGATATGCCCTTTACTGGGACCTATAAGGGCTGGCCTATGTACAAGTTAAAGTTCATAGTCTCCCACTCGAGTCTGCACACCCAATCCACCGGTCCGGACGGAAGGTTTGGCTGGCACGGGCTAAAACCGATTCAGGAGTCGACTCCCAAAGTCGAGCGCTGTCATTTGCCTCCATCTCAATGCCACGAGAACGTAAAAAATGGGAAAGGAGGATTAATATGGAATCAAGGAATACTCACTTCTACGTCCTGTGGAATGAATTCTGATATGAACACTACGAAAAATGGTGTGACTAGGTCATTTATTCCTTGTACATAACCACTACCAGGATGTCGAATAGCCCAAATATACAATATTCTTTCAAACATCTGAAACAAGTGCTTTGGTCTGCATGCAAATATTTCTTCATAACGTAAGGAAGTAGGAATTGACGTAAGTACACAAAGAAAAGTCCAGTACCTCCTGAACCAATTTTTGCTGGAAGAGCGGAATCAGCGGACACATTCTCGGTATATCAATATGAATCTAGAATACAATAGATTATACTTTAAATGAAACAAAACTATAAGAATTGATAGTTAAGTCGCCACATGATCTTCTTCACCTGTCGGAATGTGTCGTTATTTTGATCGTCAAATCGTTGGTGAAAGTACTGTTCGACGTAGTGCCAGTATTGCTCCCTTTTAGTGGCCAGCGTGGCTTCTCGCCGCTCATAGTTAGTAGGAAGATATCCCTGAAAGGGATCGAACTTGATATATATAAACGAAAAAGTCAAAATATTAGAAAGTACGATGAATTAGACAGATAATATCTTTAACGGAAAACTTGAAGGCACGCTCCACATTCATATAATATTAAGACGCCTTCTTTCGACAAGGCAGTCCTGTCCGCAAGCATGGAGGATGTTCTACTCTTGTAGCTCGAAAACATGAGGAAAGCCTGACTGTCCGGCATAGAACGAGTCCCCGGTCGCGTCTCCTGGCCATGACAATGCCCAA